ACTTTAAAACTCTCGACTGCGATTGGTCGGTCCGCTTACCACTCGAGTCGTCCTACTCGTGTTACTTGCTTGCGCTTTTCCCAGCGGTACAGTACTACAGTCGCGAGACTCGCGAGGCGACGCGGCCGAAATGACGCCGCGCGACAGCCGAATACGATAAATTTTTTTCGTTTCCCACACTTCATTAGAGAGGACTCGCAAGACGATTGCGAGAAGCCCTTATAACTATAATCGTTGCATTATTTCTCGGGACATCAAACGCGTACATTTGTTACGGTAGCTAATGATCGGTAAGCGTCCCACGAATTACCTCTCTCTCACCACGAATTAGTAAAGTTAGTATTTTCATCCTAACATTTAGATTATCGAACGCTTTCTAATCCACACACACACATTTTCGGTTTATATGAAAGGATATTTAATATTCATTTTAACTTGAAGTCGAAGCGGTCGGCTAATAGAGAATGTTTGATTGTAACCTCATACTAGATACATATATTATGCGGGTGATGATCACATTTTTTTCAATAACGCTTAAATTCGAGCCTATTTCGTATTATGCTCCGATTTGTTCTAACGATAAGTAAAGTATTGCGATAGTTTTGTGCTTTACGTGTACGGATATTACGTTATAGCCTGTGGTCCTGAGATATCAATTAATTTCTCCTGAGCGAATCTAATTAGTTAGGTAATCATACAAATTTTCACTTATAAACAGATTAAATAATTTATATGTAACAGCTAAAACAAAATCTGTTATTAATAATCAACTCTGTTGATATCAACAGCTCAAATCTGCTATTAATATAGTCAATATAATGATTATCAATATTACATTAGAGTAAATACTACATATATTCTATGTATCAATATATTGTAGTATTTGCACTAAACTAAATCAAAAGGCAAAATCAATTAAATCAATAGGAAATAACAAATCAATAAACCTTTTTTTAGGCGATCTACAATTTGTTTTAAATTTCAAATTGAAAATCTATTTGTAACTTTATATCCTATGTTTTTTGATACGTATGTATGTGTGTGTGTGTGTGTGTGTGTGTGTGTGTGTATTTGTATCTTTAAAAGCATTTCATGCTTTGCAGCACAGAAACAAATATGCTAATTAAATTATTTTCGAAATGTTATTTGAAATATTATTTACTATAAAATAAAATAAAAGCCATGTATTCTATTCATCGTTTTTGAAATTAATTTTGTTAAAATTTTATTGTTATTATACGTTTTCTAAATTGTTAACGTCACTTAATCTATTAAAATCGATAAGTTGCTTATTAAAAGTACAACTTAATCTTGTAAATAATTTCATACTTCCTAATGTGTATGTGAAAATTCTTAATAAAATTAATCATTATTTTAAATTGTTTAAGACGTTGTAAATAAAATAGTACTTATTTAGAAAGATACAAGTACGTTATATTTCTATAAGAAATAATTACACTATATTTTTTATGTAAACAGAGGATTTTCATAAAAATCCTCTGTTGTAAAGCGAATTATAACAGTTTATTTAACTAACGCAATCATTGTAGAATAATTTTCGTGACGGGATGTAAGGACGCGGAGAAAATGTGCAAGACGTTAACGAAGCAGCTCTCAACTTCTGCGTGTGCGTGAAATGGTGGAACGTAAAATGGTACATGTCGGTTTAATGGGACATCGCAGTGGCTTTAGTTGGTACATAACATGGCGAACGTAACGAATGCTTACCCTAGATACGAGCGAATAGAGGTATTTATACGATTCTCGTTAATATGTCAAATTAATCTGTAGCATTTAATTCCCGTACTCCGCTTAGAGCAAAGTGCAGCTTCCACTTTGACCATGAAATTTTACGATATTGTATTTTATTCATGTCTCACACGTTATTAGTATTTAAAATAATTTTGCCCAAATAAATTTCTTGTAAAGGAGAAAATATAAAAATTATTATAAAGGTTAATTCAGTTTATTAAATTTATTCATAAATAGTAGAATTTTTATATATTGAACTAAACATCTTTAAAATTTACGTATAGGCTTCTCCACTTACTGTACATATGTTTTATACATTTGTAACTTTCAAAAATTATAGTCGAATTTTTGATGAAATATTCTTGCACTTGTTAACTTGAAAAAAGATTGCTTAATGATAGCTCTACGTTCGAATTTATTGAAATAATTCCACGTTACTTCACCTCACGAATTTATCGTATCAGTAAAAGAAAATTCTTTTCCACGTAAAGCTATTGTTTTCGAATTTCTCCTCCCGATAGTACGCTGTTTACATGGAGTTCGAAATAAATTCCATTATTTCGAACGTTATCGACGTTTTCTTCCATATATTCAAAGTTTCACGAATTTTGATAAGATGTTCTTGCATAATTATTGGGTGGATCCATATATCCGTTCGGTTTTTGAAGGCTGAAATGAAACAAGTTTTTTTCATATAAAGGATGAATTTTAACCAATGATATATTCTTCATTTTTGTTGATGACCTCTTGCCATCAACAAAAACGGAAAATATATCATTGATTAAAATTCATCCTTTGTATGAAAAAAACTTGTTTCATTTCAGCCTTCAAAAACCAAACGAATATATGGATCCACCCAATAT